TTCTTCCCTTGACATTCTTTTTGGCATTATCTCCTTAGCTATTCTCTTCTCCTTTGATGCCCCTGCCACAGCAGCAACTCTCTCCGTGTTCTCTCTTAGGATTAGAGAGCTCTTACCATTATCTCTTCTCAGGCTCTTCCTTTGATGTTTATTTCTCTCCTCAGTAGCACTATAGTCGTTCATACTGTCCCCTCCATTTTCTAGCACCCCTTCATTCTCTTTATTTTCCTCTTCGAGTACCGCAAATCTAGATCCCTTATAATTGGCTTGCTCATTTGGTCTCATCTTCCTTGGTCTACGAGGCCTACTCATTGTTTTCCAGATCTCACCATTCTCTTTCAGCTTTCCACTACTATCAGTTACATCAACATTCATGTCACCTTTACCATTCAACTTGTCCTGTTTTTTACGAAACTCTTCACATGAATTAGTGAGATGTCCAAATATGCCACGTTTCTTGCAGAGCATTCCCATACTTTCATAAACCACACTCAATACCTACCCTTCCACTTCAAATTCTAGTACTAGCGGCTTTGTCAGATCCAATTCTACACACATTCTGGCAAATTTTCCCCTTGTTCTCTTTGCTGTATGAATGTCAAGCCGAATAGCTTTTCCAATAGCATTACCCAGATTCAAAAGAAATTTTTTGTCAAATAGGGGTGCTGGTAGATCTGGAAGTCTGACCCAAGCAATCATTGAATCGATCTTCTCATTCCTGGGATTGAACTTCGGTCTCCACCTTGCCACATTTAGGTAAGTATCAGATATTACCCAAGGGCCCCCTATTAAAGCCTCCATGTAATCCCTATGGTTCTAAAAGGTCACCAGATAGAACTTGTTTTCGAGATCGAAGACTTCAATCTCGCCGCTTCTTTTCCACAGCTGCTCTAATTTTTAGACCATGAAGCTATACGAGACGCCTCTCCCCATTAGTTTCACTACCAGCATTTGTTTGAATGGTTTCCACAGCCTCTCCTTCTCCTTCTCATCAAATGAAAATCTTGGGCAAAGTGGATTCGAGTTATCTACCATAATACCTTCATTTGGATTCAAGACTTTTGCGAAGTCTGTTCCAGCGCCATAGTCTTCGGAGTCTTCCTCCTCTTCCTCTCTTAACCATCCCCACTAGCATACCTTGGAGTTCACATTTCCCATTAGTGATTCCCTGTAAGACCTAGGTGATCTCTGAAACCCCTCCGTTTCCATCCAGCCTTCTGCCTGAGCCCTTAGTAATTAGTCACTTGAGAACTCATGGCCCTCCAGGTGAACCTTCTTCTTCCTCCTATCCGCTTCCCCCCTTTCCTCCTCCATGTTGAGACCTCACCTCTTTCCTTTCGCAGTGTGCGATGAAGGAAAACCCTCTTTGATCTCTGTCGCAGTGGGCGGCGGAGCACTCAGTGAGAAAAGCCCTAGCAGAGCCTTCAGAAATCGCCGGTAGTTTTTTGCTACTTCTTTGGGGATTTTATTATTTAACTATCATTTTTGTCTTTTTTTGTCCCTTTTTTTTAATGTTTTCCATATAAGGTTTTCTTATAATTGGTGTGGAAAGTTCATTAACCCAGTGACCCATTCTCTTCTCCGGGTTAGTTCGCTTTTCTCTTTCTTTTTCCCCACCTCTAAATTAATGAATATATCGTTAAGTGGTCACGACAGGGGAGTAACGCATAAGAGACAGTAAACAAATCTCATTGATGTAGTTTATATAAACCCATAATGCAAATAGATCCATCAGGCCGTAGGACCCTCATCAACGACTAAAAAAGTAACTAAATAAATCTTAACTCAAGAATAGTGGATGTATACTAAAAACCAGATAGAAAAAAGAAACGCAAATGCAAAAATGCAGCATAAAGAATGTAATTAAAAATGAGAATAGAAAGATCATCTTGTATAACCGTCACATATTTGTTGGTGTGATCTCCACCTCACAATAGGTGACTGTGGTTAAGTTTAATCTTTATATATCAAACGACATGTATTTAAAATTTCGTAATAATGCCTATAACCATCCTAACTTTATGGGCGATCATTGCACAAGCAAAAAGTTACTTGTCCCAATCACATTCACATTTAAAGTGACCGATCCTATCACACCATCAACATAGGACAAACACCCTTTCGTATCTAAATTGAACCGGGGATCGGTTTTACCCGTCAAATTTTAATTATTCAAATTTAATATGAATAATCTAGATTTAATATTTAATATTTTTTAAAATTTTTTTTGTTTAATAGGTATATAATCCAAAATAAATACATATCTTAACTATAAGTTTTTAAAAAGTAATTTTTTATTTAAAACTTACTAGTTAAAAATTTTAAATTTAGACCATTAAAACTATAGCATAATACTTTAGATTTTACCGATGTGATAATGTTTGTCACTCTGATAACCACTGAAACTAGATCTAATTAGAATCCAAGTTACATTATTAGATCTTTCAGCATCTTCAGAATTCGCAAACTTAACATCACACCCCATTATAAGAGGAAGAAAAATATCGATCGCTCCACATACTCTCAGAAATATGATATTCGTCTTTAGAATCGCAAAAGTCAGCAATGATATCACCAAGCATGGTATTCAATCTGCCCCTGTTTGGCAAAGCGATAGAAATTTCTTATAAACACATTTCACGTAAACCTAGATAAAACTCATCTCATATACTTTACTTGTATTCCGTATATCACTATTAAAAAGCAGTTTATAAACTACTTATAAGCTGTTCCAAACGGGCCCAGAGAGAACCTACACCTTGATTCACACCTTAATATTTGGCAACAAAGCTTCCTCCAAAATACTCCTCTGATCCTAGGACACAGAGAGAAAATATTTTTTTACCCTATTTATAAGGTATTGAAAGAAATTTTTATGAATATACAATTTTACCTTTTATTATTATTGTGTTGATTTTGTTTACATGAAGTATAATGTATATTGAATAGAGATAAAATTAAAAAATTGTTGAATTTTAAATGAGAGTAAATGAAGTTTAAGGTTTTTCTTAATTCTTGTGAAATATGTTGAAAGTCAACTTATAAATAGGACTAAAAAAGTACTTTTTTGGGTTTTTATTATAAGAACTGACTAACTAATTCACACGTATTAATAAAACTAATTAAAAACATTAAATTTATCATAAAATTCAAGTAATTTTTAACATCACCGATTACCATAAGTAATTGTACTATATTTCAGCAAATGCTTCATGTATAAAGGATGAATAAAGGATAAAGAGGAGCGATTGAGAGAGAGGGCAACAAGGTGATGAGAATGGGAGAGAGTCGGAGGAGATTGGAGAAAAAGATGCTTGGGAGACATTGAAGATTGAGAAGATGCACAGAAGACAGTGAAAATTGAAAGAGGAAACGAGAGAATATTCGACTGCAAAGAAAAGTAGAAGTCAAGATTCAAAAGGATAGAGGAAGGAGTAGCAAGAGTTGAGATGGGATATTGAACCAGAGAAAACAAGCTCGGGTAATTCTTTCATCGTCCTTTACTAGTTAACTTCATCTTTACTGTGCCGTGAATGTTATGAAATGTTTTCAAGATGTTGAACATCATGCATTTTAGCTTAGCGTTATCTGTTAAAATAAAAAACTTTGGCCTGTGAGTTGTTGCTGCTGTGTTGAGTTGCCTATGATATACTCCTCTGGTTCTTAATGTAGGATTTAATTATTCAGTTGATCTTAATTCTAAATGTAAAACTTATTTTTCATATTTGTCATTTTTTCCCCTAAATTATCCCTATTGATACTTTATTAATCATAATCAAGTAGAAGAGGAAAGGAGAATATTAAGAAAGATGATTATGGTGTTTTAGGACAAACATGTTATTTTTTTATAATTAACTAACTCACCTAACTTTTTTAATATAATCAAATTAATTAAGTTTTATATTAAGAACTGGAGGAGTATTATGATAGTTTTGCTTTACTTGGACTCTTGCTTTCACATCATGAATGAGAAAAGATGCAGTCTTGTGTTTGCCCAAAATATGTTTGACGAAAAGCTTGAGAGGGTTAAAGATCAAAGGAACTATTTTCAAGGGTTTGAAAACCTTGTTTCCTTTATTATTTATCAAACTCAGTTGGGCATCAAATTTGCAAACTTAGTTGGTGGAGGAGCTTAGGTTTTCCCTTTGGATATTCATTAGTTGCTCACCAAATGCAATCTATATTGTTCTAATGCCTTGTCTGCTTAGTTTCTGACTGCACAGCCAATGTTGCACATTTTTCTGTACTTATTTAGAGGTAACCTTAACATGAAATGTAGTATTGATGTTCCTTTATGTGTTCGGTTTGATATATAAAATTTTTGTGATTATTGGAGCCCGTTTGCATGGTCAAATTTGCTGGCCTTTGGAACCAGCAGAAAATGCTTGCCTGTCGGTTTATTAGTGTCCATTTCGTGGTTTTCTCTGTACTGGTACAGAGGTGATCTTGATTTGAAATTCTGTATCCAAACTTGCCTATAGGGCTCCACACCTACCTTTGTCAACCACTTAGCCTATCCAAATAACAAGGCCACTAACTCAGGCCTAACAACATTCAAATAATTGTAGGACTTGTGTTGACATCCTATTATATTTTACTATATAAGTTGATTGATTTTGTTGTAAAACTTTAAAAAAAATTCTTATATTTTGAAACAGAAGTGCTATACAACTTAAATTTAGAAGCAAATCATGATAAAGCTAAGTTAATTAATTAGTGCCCAAAGGAGTTATATGTGCAATTATTAGCCAAAGTAAGACAAGACTGTGCCATTAAGTAAAGCCTAATATGCTTCTCTATCAATTGGGCAACAAGGCTCTCAAAAAGGCTTAACAAGGCTCTAAAGCATATAGATATGGCATCATGGGCAATGCCGTTCAACCTAAGTTAGATTGTGTGCGCCCCCTTGTGCTCTTTGATCACAAGAGAGTCTCTTGTGGGGTCACTAAATTTTCTTCCAGTAGAGAGGTTGAGAACAATGCTAAATCCTTGTGTGGATGCGTAGAAGCAACTATATTCTTTTCTCAAGTGATTCAACAATCAATGATATCTCCTTGCAGTAAAAGTATAACTTATGTTCTCTTATCCAATATAGAAATTTTCCACAAGGACCTGGGATCAAAAAAATAAATAATTTTTTTATTGCTACGCTTTCTGCTCTAAATCCCAACAAGATCAAGCTATTAAATGCCCAAACACTCACACGAGCATACAACCCAATGACAAATTATACTTACCTTTCATTTCCTATTATGAGTCCTAAATGGCGACAGTGTCTTGGAACAGCCCTCCAAGCATGGGCTCAAAATGACAATGTTTTGCTCAATAGAAGATACTTCGATGATGCCAAACAAGGGCATTGACTGAAATTCGATAGTTAGGTATATTTCTACAGCAAAACTCGTTCTCCATAGAGCTTATTCCACTGCTGCAGTTCTCGCATTATTAATCCATTATCATCAAAACTTGGGGGAACCTGCATAAGTATAGGCCATTAAGCTTCCATGAAGACAATGAAATGACTATGTAGAAATAAATACTATGATAAAATTCAAGATTTAGATTCTTCTACATGGGTCCCGCTGATAAATGATTAAGCCTTCTACAGGGCAATGAAGGAAGGCCATTGAAAAAATTTACGATATATCTTGTAGTAATCTCACGTTCACCTAACAATTTTGGTAGATTAGGATATGTGCTAAAATCTTAACCTGTTTGGAAGTATTTTTCCCACAATGGTGCAAGAGAAAGCAACGAAAAAAATTTGCAAAATCAATCGACCAAGGACATGTGTTAATTGAATCTTGGATGGCTAAGAGCTGACAGCATTATCAATGAACACTAAAAAAGTCTAATCAGCCCCATATTATTTACACCAATGTCCATTTATAGTAAGTATAGGCCTACATCAAGAAAAACCATAGTAAATTGTGAGGGGTTCTTAAACTCTACCTGATTCTTAGCCTGAATCATGTCTTCCATGTTTATAGGCCTTAGGGTAGTTACTGGATCTTCTTTGTTCTCCTTAGCACTTGAATCAGCTTTTGAGCTTTGGCCCTGGCCTTCAGCATCTTTCTTGTTCTTTTCCTAAATTAATATAAAATTTATGTTGTTCAGCTTCAAGATAATGATGAAGTTGAGAAAGCATATTGAGATTATTTTAAAAGTCAAGGAAATTACTTTCTCGTTTGTATCCTCTTTGGCACTTGAAGCGGCTTCTGAGCTTTGGCCTTCAGCTTCATTTTTATTCTTTTCCTTAAATAAGAAAAAATTATTAGAAATATTAAATTGAGAGGGTACATTCACATGACTTAACCAGTCAACGTTCTCATATTTGGTTAGAAACATTACCATATCCTTCAATCTCTCCTGCTTTATTAGCTCCTTAACTGGTCGATAAGCAGCAGCAGTGCACAAATTCTGTTTATAAGAAATTTAGTGTTAAAGAGATGGTAACCACCGCCTATAAGTAGAAAAATAGAATCACAATTTGAAAAGGAAGAACAAAAAACCTTGAGGTCGCTCCCAGTATATCCCTCTGTCATGATTGCAAGCTCTTTGAAGTCTAACTTTTCAGTATTTTCCTTGGCTAGCATGGTTTTCAAGATAATCTCCCTAGTCTCAACAGATGGAAGACCAACCATGAATCTGCTCAAAAATGAAAGTTATAAAAATTTTAAACTGAAAATTCTTTGCATTTGTTTTTAAGATAAAAATGATAAAATGAACCAGAAACAAATGATATAGACATACCTTCGCTGAAACCGTCTTATGATTGCATCATCAAGGTCAAATGGCCTGTTGGTTGCGGCAAGAACCAGAATTCTCTCATCTTGTTTTGTCAACAGGCCATCCCAATGGGTCATGAATTCATTCTTAATCCTCCTCGTAGCCTCATGCTCTCCGCATCTTGCTCTTTGCCCAAGCAAGCTATCAACCTCATCAATAAAAATAATAGTTGGAGAAACCTTTGCAGCCAGTGTGAAGATAGCTCGGACATTCTTCTCAGCTTCTCCATACCACATTGATGTGATGGCAGACATTGGGACATTGATGAAACTTGCTCCTGCCTCATGTGCAATTGCCTTTGCAAGCATTGTTTTGCCGGTTCCTGGTGGTCCGAAAAGTAGAATACCTCGACAAGGCTTAAGAAGTCCACCTTTGAAGAGCTCTGGTCTTCGAAGTGGAAGCATGATTAGCTCTTGGAGTGATTCCTTAACTTCCTCTAATGCACCAATATCTGCGAATGTAACTCCTATCTGATTTGCAGGGATAAGCTCTGATCTCATGTTCGCTTCATAATTATTGTCCGGAGGAACTTCCTGCCAACACAAAAAATGAAATAGCATTAGTTAAACACTTTTTTCATTTTGTTGAACTCTCCACAAGCTAAGTCCCATTGTGTTGATAACCACTCTATGGAAGCATTTGTGCTAATCTGTTTTGATCTGTCTAAACAGAGTGAATGCAAACATACTTTCTTTCCATCAGTCTCTGTCTTCTGAGTATCATTGACAGTATTGGTTTTGCGGAATAGACCCAAACTGTGGCACAAACTGTAAATTCACAAGATCTCAGCAACTAAAACTATTTCTCCGCAAAACAAATACGTAAAAATGATTGGATCAAATTCGTACCTTTCAGATGATATTACAAGCTTTCCATTATGATATTCTGGATCCTTGGTATTCATCAAGTAGTAAGATACTGCAGATACCGCAATTTCTTCAATATGTTTGCTTAGTACTTCTGTATCCTCGTGGTTGATTGAATTCAAGTCTTTACATTCAACATCCATTTCTGCTAGTACTTGAGCAATGTGGTTTTGGTTATCTTGAGACTGAATTGTTTTCTTGTCCCCCTCTAGTTGGGTTTTCCAGTTTTGAAGATTATGCTCATCTTTAGGAGGTTTGATCTGAATATTGTAAGGGAATAATGCAGCGATCCTTTCATCAACTTCTGCACCAGCTTCTGGTGGTGGAACAAAACATGGTAACCACTCATTTCCCAGCAATTCATCTTCTGACCATTCATCTTCAATATCAGTTATTTGGGAACCAAGTATCAAAATTGGCCCTGAAAGTTTCTCTAGAATTTCTTGAAACAACTTATACAGTTGTTCTGATTCTAGGAAAATCCTATTAACATCCCTGATGTATAATATAATGGAACTTTTTTCTGAGACAGAAACCACGACCTGCGAGAATTATTATTTATCTTTCTTGTCATATACATTTTTATGGAAAGCCTTGCAATTATGGTAGTTTTCAAATAAAGAACAAATTAGAGTTGGTGAAAGAAATCATGATGACATCACCTTATAAAGCAACTGCATGAAGAATTCTTCATCCATGCACATGTCACTTTTGTTCTTAAGGGGATCTGAGAATGGAGATTCAAAGCAATTAGTAATTCAAACATTTGAATTTTGTGTATATTCATATTAAAATACTGCATCACTACTAAATGTTCTACCTATCATATGTAGTTGAATAAGTCCTATTATCTCTTGTTATAAATATAAGAAATAGTTGCAGGATCTATTTTAGTTTTACATTCAAATCTTAATCTACTTTGTCTCACAAATTTATGATTCTTTTTCCAACCAATCCTATGTTGCACGTGTGAAAGGGAGTTTTTAATAATAAGGATAATTTCTAATGTAAATGAATATATGGGGTATTTTAATGAAACCAAAAAATATTTATTATAAATAATTAGCTTACCTGATTTTTTTCAATCCTTCTAAGATAATTATCTATTTCTTATGTTTAGGACTAAATGGAGTATTAATTATGTTGACTTTATATACAATTAAACTCCCTATAAAAATACAACTTCAGAAATATCAGAATTTTTTGGGGCAGAATGCTGTTTCTTCCTTTCTTACCTTCAGCTTCACTAGTCGAAGAGGAACCAAACAGACTGGCCAATCTCTTGGAAGCCACCTCAGATAAGGACCTTTTAGAAGACTAAACAAATAAAACGGGTTAAGGAAAATGACATGACAAACCAACATGAAGGTTTGTTATTTTGTCAATCCATATTTGGAAAAAAAACAAACTAACACAGTAAATGCAGAGCAGAAAAACTTACGGATTCTTTTCTTGGACATCCATATTTTCTCCTCACCTATAAAAAATGAAAGAGGTCAGTTACAAATATAATTGCTAATTCAACTTAAAGAAACTAAATGAAAATGTGAAAGTAAATCACCTTGAAAGAGAAGTCAGCAATATCTAGCAGCAGCAACTTTGATTCAAAATGATGTGCTAAAGCCTTGGCAATTGTTTGCAGGTAAAGTTCTTCAAAATTTGTAAAGAAAGCTAATGAGTCGAACATGCATGAAAACCCAAACAATTATGTGCCAAACCCATGAGTTATTTTTTCCTCCTCCCCTTATTATAAGGCACTTATGCTATAATCACCTCACTGGAATCAAGAAAGGCTAGTTGAATCATTAACTTAACAAAAATATTTTGCACCATGCTCATATTTAAAACTATGTATTGTTATCATAAATCATTGAGATGGAGGAATAATTGCATGGGAAATTGAGTATGAAGGAAAAGCAATAGAAAAACGCTTCATTCAAGATGCCAGCGAAGAAAACTCAAATCAAAACCTACTTAATAACTTATTCCTCCAGTTCTTAATATAAGAACTAGTTAACTGATTTAAGTATATTAAGAAAATTAGATAAGTTAATTATTTGTAATAAATGCGTGTTGTCTTCTCTAAAACATTCTTATTAATCATATATATTTGCTAGAACTACCATTTGATGAAACATTTAACATGTACAACTACTACAAAGACTATATTAGGAAAAAATAGATATTGGTGTTTTATATTTTGGATCAAACTGAATGTCAAACTAACTCTTATATTAAGGATCATAAATAGTAATAAGGATTATGTGTTCTTTCTAAAAGATGCCTTATGATAAGGATCAGAGACAAATATGCATAACATACCTGTTGGACCAGAAAGTAAGATTGCCCTGCTTGTTTGTGGAAGGTTCCGGATGTGTCTAGAGAAGATAAGTTGTTTTAGATGAACAAATGCAGCACTCATCAATAGCTGCCGACTGCTTTCACTGTTAATGCAATGGAAAAAAATGAGAATTATATTATCAGGTTGCCCTGTTTCAGCTCATGTTATGATTTTTTTTTGGGGGGGGGGGGGGCACAACATCATATATTTTTATCAGCATAAATAGAATTAACAGCTAAAATATGTGTAAAATCTGTAATTGAACATGATAATTCTAAATATGACGAAAACCTTAAAGTAAATACCCATTATTTCTTCATTGTGCCTTTTTCACAAGACTAATCTTACGAAGAAAGTGACTAAGTTAATATTATCACCTTAAGTAATAAGGAAAGTCTTGGAAAGTTTCTTTGCATTCCTTCCCATCAATAACCTGCCTCATAAGTTCTTGCTTAACTTGCTCTTTCCAGAGCTCTTCTTCTTCATCAGAATTCCCTCCAAGCCCTGAACTGAATCCAAGCCCTGCTCCAAAGCCAACCCCAATACCCAATGCTGACAGCAAAACATTCTTCTGCTCCATATCTTTCCTGCTTCTTTTCATACTTTTTTCTGATATTGTGATAGAAGAAGATGCATACGTGGTCTCAAGGCTGATCACGGCTTCAACTTTCGATACAGTATCTGATATCTGATACTATTGGGTCAGATTTAAGTACTGTTTGGGATACACAAGGCAGCTCTTCTAAAGGTGTCTTTTATGTTCATACAGACTCGAACTGGAGACCAATTTGGCAGAATAAGCTCAGGTGACTCCTAAGGTAGATGTCTATCATTTGGAGATGGGGATTAGAGAAGTAAAGAATTGGTGGTTGCTGCTATGGCCTATATGTGACCCTTTTCACCTCTCGCCTCCATATATGTATATATAGAGAGAGTGAGACACACACACACACAGAGACATACACGTGCCTTTGAGTTAGCGGTGTCAAATGAATTCCAAGAAGACAAAGAAGCTTTCTTTCTTTTCTTTTCTTAGTGTACAAGTTTCACGCTAATTCCTTAGAGCATAAGACAAAATGGAGAATTATTCCGTCTTTACCATGTGATGCTCAAATATGACCGTTGATTTATTTGTTGTTTAACTGAACGTTGCCTTAAAAAGAAAGTGCCTGTCCAGCTACAATGAAATTAATAAAGCTGGAGTTTATAGTGGTACGCAATAATCTTTTTTATATTGGACAAGAAATCCTTTAAAATTCAGTAATACCTTAGTATTTATAAATAGGCATGATTTTTTTATAATTATTTGAACCATAATTTTTTGAAGTCTGGGTCTTTTTTAATAATAGTAAAATAGAAAAAAAAATTCCTTATAGAAGATTTTAATAATAGTAAATTGGTCACATTCATTTATACATTATTTGTGTAAAATTATAATAATAGCCTATAAAATATTAAATTTGGATTATTAAAATTTTTTATCAAAGGAGGGAAAGGAAAAAGGAATCCATCCCATTTCCACAATTTTATATAAAGTGCAAAGACAACGCATACTGTTTTTAGTCAAGGAAGAACCATCGTTGACTCTATACCAACGTCAGCAACCAGACCTTACCCTTTTATTTTTTTAGAAAATTAAATATTTAATCCTAATATAGCTTCAAAATACATTATATTATTACTTTTGTTAATAATGTTCATTTAATTATTTAACTTCCTATATTTATACTGAAATTATGATATCCCTTATAATTGTTTTGTTTGTATTTATATATTAAAATCATTAATTTCTTATAATTATAAAAATTTAACTTGATTGTTAATATTATAAAGATAATTTTTTAAAAAAAAATAGTACCAAGCCTTAAGTTGGAAGCAGGCATCACTTACAATTTACAACATAGAAGGATATCTTCCTTTTTTTTCTTTTTAGTGAAACAGAAGCATATCTTTTTGATAAAACAATACAGAAGGATATCAGGACAAAACCATTTGTGATCGTCAATAAGCACACAAAAGTACAGCTAGAACAAGAAGAATATGAAACTTTTTTTTTTAATATTTCAAACATAGAGAAAATAATATGACTTAAGGAACCAAAATAAATGTGAATGAAGCCAGTTAGGCGCACTATATTAAAGCACCAAGTTAAAGATGAGGTGATTACGTATCCAATACTTATGGCTCCTTTTCTTATTCCCCTCTGATTTTTTTTTGTTTTTTAAAAAAAAGTTCCTACTTTTTATCACTTGAAATTTGACTCAGTAGGATGGCATTGAGTGGAGAATAATTATGTGTATAGGCTTATTGCCCTTAATTATTTTTTAAAAGAATCACATCTTCATCAATTTTCATGAATAGTAAGCATTAGATTCGGACACGTGTCCTAAAACACACCCATATAAAGAAGACTATATGTTTTTTTTTGGGACACTATTATATCTTTTAGAAGTTTTGTTTAATCTTTCCTATAAAAAGTCAACGGCAAATTGCCTTAATGGTAGCGTTATCCGCCATGCTTAAAATGGGTTTTAGGCTCAAGTTTAATGCTGACATATTTATATACGTGTGTGTTTAATTGTGTACAAAAAAAAAATTCTTTCCAATAAAAGACTATAAAATTTAGTAATGCGCCTAGGAATTTTTTCCAAGAATACTCAAATATTATAGTACCTCCTTTCTTGATCTAGTTTAATTTGTAGTGCAATTAGTGACCTAAAAGTCTCTTTGATTTGCAGAAAGATTTGGAATGACATGTAATGGGACGTTTTGTCCCTATGTTTAGTTGTATCTTCTCCTATTGTTATTCTTCAGATTAAAAATATGAACTCTTATTTTATGTGAGACGAAAATGGATATTGCCAAGTAGAAGGCTAGGGATCTAGATTCATCATTTCCTAGGCATCATATTTGTCATTAGAGAGAGGATTCCAAAAGAGAGAAAACAAAATTAACCAAACAAACTTAGCAGACCCTTGCCCCAAAAAAAAAAAAAAGGTCTTAGCAGATTTGCAGTTGTGTGGTTGGCACAAAATCGGAAGTAACCCAATTATAATTAAAATGATATAATTTAATTAAAATATATAAAATAATCATATATAACCTTGAAATGAGTAGTATTTAAATGAAGAGATATTAATCTACAAGTAAATGGAACATTCATGTATGAATTGAAGGAAGCAACCCAATAGGACGTGTGAGTATAAGTTTCTCAGGTTTTTATACATCCTCTCTCACTTATATATTGTGTGCAAATATACCGCAGAGGCCATGATATTCTTTTCCCAAGTGATTCAGCAATCAATCATGTCTCCATTCAAAAGAAGAATAATCTCTTTCCCCTTTTCTAATGCAGAGATTTCCCAAAAGGATTTGGGATCACAACAAAGATTTTAATTTCATTGGGGGTGATGATTTCTACTTTGAAGCCTCACAAGATCAAACAATTAAATGCGTTTAAACGCTCACATGCACAAACAACCAAAAGATATATCTCAAGCTTACTTCTCATTTCTCATTATAAGTCTTAAGCAGTGGTAGTGTCTTGGAACTCTCCTCCAAGCATAGGCGTCAAAATGACAATGTCTTGCTTTAATAGAAGTTAATCCGATGATATCAAAGAAGGATATCAACTGAAACACGCATAACTAGGTTTTATTTTTACGGCAAACCATTCTCCTACTAAAAGTTGCTCCAACCGGAATTCATTTAAGTGATATATCTCCGCGAACCTCGTTCTCCATACAGCTCATTCCACTGCTTCAACTCATGCATAATTAATCCGTGAGCATCAAAACTTGCAGGAACCTGTGGGAAAATTTAAGATTTAGATTCTTCTACATGTGTCATTGATAAATGAGTAAGCTTTTTCTAGGGCAATGAAGAAAGGACATTCAACAAATATATGATCTCTTGTAGCAATCTCAGATTTACCAAATAATTTAGGTAGGTTAGGCTATGGGCTGAAATCTTAACCTGTTGTAAGTATTTTCTCACAACGGTGCAAGAGAAAGAAAACTAAAGAGTTTCCAAAATCAATGGACTAAGGACATTTGTTAGTTGAATATTCAATCGAGATCAAATGGTATTATCAATGAACACTAAAAGCATAACCAGCCCCATATTATTTACACAAACATCCATTTATAGCAAGTATTTTCCCATAATGGTTGAAGAGAAAGAGAAGAAAAAGTATAGGCCTAAATCAGGCAAAGATCATAGTCATCCATATAAATTGCGGGGGTTTTTTAGGTTAACCTTACCTGATTCTTAGCCTGAATCATGTCTTCCATATTTATAGGCCTCAAGATAATCACGGGCTCTTCTTTGTCCTCCTTAGCACTTGAAGCAGCTTCTGAGCTTTGACCTTCAGCATCTTTCTTACCCTTGTCCTAAATTAAGAAAAAATTTTATGTTGGCTTAGTCAGCTAAGAGATAATGATTAAGTTGAGAAGGCGTGGTGAGATGATGTTTTAAGTCAAGGAAATCACTTTCTCTTTTGTATCCTCTTTGGCACTTGAAGCAGCTTTTGAGTTTTGGCCCTCGGCCTCTTCTTTATTCTTCTCCTTAAATAAGAGAAATTTTATGCTAGTCAGCTAAAAGATGATAATTAGAATGAGAGGGCACATTGACATGATGTAACAAGCCAACATTGTCAAGTTTGGTTAGTAACATTACCAAAGCCTCCAACTTCCCCTGTTTTATTAGCTCCCTAACAGGTCGATAAGCAGCAGCAGTGCACAAATTCTATTCAAAAGAAATTATGTGTCACGAGATGGTGGCCAAATGTTATAAGTAGTAAAGTAGAATCACAATATGAAAAGGAAAGACAAAACTAAGAAACCTTGAGGTCGCTTCCAGTATATCCCTCTGTCATGACTGCAATCTCCTTCAAGTCTAAATTTTCAGTATCTTCCTTACTTAGCAGAGTTTTCAAGATAATCTCCCTACTCTCAACTGATGGAAGACCAACCATGATTCTGCTCAACATTGAAAGTTATGAAGATATCAATCCTAAAATCATAACAATGTGGATTTAAAAATTGAATTATTCAATAATGCTACAAGAGATCAAGCCAGGATAAATTTTCCAAGAGATTCTTTATAGAGTTTCTGAATGGTTATAGCATACTCATGCAAAATTGAGACTGAGACTTAGTTATCCATGCAAGAAACAATTTGGACAAGCACAAAGCAAGGACTCATAAAAATAAGAATGGTTAGAGATTAGAAGTTTTACCTGAAGAGTTGGGAAAATATAGAAAGTAACAAAAGTGTTTGTCCTTGAAAGGTGTCACTGGTATGTTGTGTGTAACGTCTTGATCATTTGAAGGCTAAAAATTAACTTATTGAAAACTAATCTTTCTGTTTCCTTATGAGTTCGTAACTACTAATAAAGGTCATGTATGCATTTGTTCTTCAGACAAAAGTAACAAAAGAATCAGAAGTGAATAAAGAAAACTAACATGAAGACACATATACCTTCGCTCAAATCGCCTTATGATTGCATCATCAAGGTCGAATGGCCTATTGGTTGCTGCAAGAACCAGAATTCTCTCATCTTGTTTTGTCAATAGACCATCCCAATGGGTCATGAATTCATTCTTAATCCTCCTCGTAACCTCATGCTCTCCACATCTTGCTCGACTCCCGAGCAAGCTATCAACCTCATCAATGAAAATGATAGTCGGAGAAACCTTTGCAGCTAGAGAGAACAGAGCACGGACATGCTTCTCAGATTCTCCAAAGCACTTTGATGTGATGGTAGACATGGAGACATTAATGAAACTAGCTCCTGCTTCATTTGCAATTGCCTTTGCAAGCATTGTTTTTCCAGTACCCGGAGGTCCAAAGAGCAATATGCCTCGACAAGGCTTAAGAAGCCCACCTTTGAAGAGCTCTGGTCTTCGAATTGGAAGCATGACTAGCTCTTGTAGTGATTCCTTAATTTCCTCTAAAGCACCAATATCTGAGAATGTAACTCCTATCTCATTCGCAGGGATAAGTTCTTCTCTTATGTGCCCCTCATGCTGATTGTCTGGACGAACTTCCTGCCAGCACAAAATTAAACCAAAACTGAAATACCAGAATGAAGTAACCATGTACAACATTGGTTAAACGCTCCTTTTATGCATAATTGCACTCTCAACCAGCTAAGTCCTATTGCATAAATCTCTATATTAGTCTTTCACCATCCATGTAATCTCTTTTTTTCTTTTTATTCTCTGGAATGTCTTGTCCTGATCCATTTCGCTCTTACTCATGCGTTTGAATGTAAACGTACCTTTTTTCCTCTAGTTTCTTGCTTCTTTACACTAGTCCCTTGCTTCTTTCCCTTGTCACTGCTTTCCTTTTTGCGAAATAGATCCAAACCATGGGACAAGCTGTGAATTCCCAAGATTAGTCCCGAGAACATGTTTTCCTTAAACAAATAAACAACTGGTCCAAATTCTTACCTCTCAGATGATATTACAAGCTTTTGATTCCGATATTCTGGATCCTTGGTATTCATCAAGTAGTAAGATATTGCAGATAACACAATTTCTTCGACATGTTTACCTAGTATCTTTGTGTCCTCATGGCTGATTGAATTCAAGTCTCTACATTCAACATCATTTTCTACCAGTACAGCAGCAATGTGGTTTCTGTTATCTTGAGACTTAATTGTTTTCTTGTTCTCTTCCAGCTGGGCTTTCCATTCCTCAAGATCATTTTCATCTTCTGGTGGCTTGATCTTAATGATGTAAGGGAACAATCCTGCGAGCCTTTCATCAACTTTTGAACATTTATTCTCTTTGCAAGACAGCACTACCCATGGTGGGAGATTTCCTATAATCACAGGCAACACAACCTTTGCATTAACAAATAATATTATCACTTTAGAGAACACAGACTAATATATATTATGTCCCACTTGGCCATAATTCTTTTTAAAGTTCAGAACACAATTTTAAAACAAATGCATTAGACTCCTACATTGATCATTTAATGAATAAAAAGATGATAAACATATGTTTAGGGTTCTCAAATAAAAAATTGGCCTTTATTTTTCTACTTTTCCGAACAACTGTATACTCTTTCACCAACTAACTTTGGTTTTTTAGTTCTTTACTCATACTCTCAATTCATTACAAAATGAAGCTTTATGATGAACTAGAAAACACACACACACATCACTTTTTCAGCAAATAATTTTTTTTAATAGTTCCATTTTCCTTATGTATCTGGTCTTGAAATAATATCCGGATACAAATTTTGCCAGCCTCACCAAGTTTTTCGGTTTGGACTGCGATCTTGGAAGCAAGTATCAGCACTGGCCCTCGAAGTTCCCCCAGCATATTGTTAAACAAATTATACAGTTGCTCTGATTGGAGGAAAATCTTGTCAGCATCCCTGATGTACAAGATGATGGAACTCTTTTCTGACACAGAAACCAATACCTGGAAGAATCATATTCATCCTACTAGTTAGCTAGAACTAATTATTGAGAAATTCTCTTTTCTTCTTGAAGCCATGATGATGACAGTACCTTATAAAGCAACTGCATAAAGAGTTTTTCATTGATACACAAGCTACTTTTCTGCTTAGCTGTGGATGAAGATTCAGAGCAATAAGCAAGAGAACATTTATTTTTATGTACAATCAATCATAAAATAGGGCATTAACTATTTTTGGTGGGTTAAGAATGGCAAGAATGTGATAATTTAAACAATAGATGGATTTGCTAATTAAAGCAATTAGCAGGAAAGAGGTAAGTAGTGCCAGTATGTGCATCTGAATTAAAATGCAGGGTTATTGAAATTAAACTGGAGAAGGATGAGTAAGCCCAGAACTTGCAGACCATAGCAATCTATAGTTCTGCATATTAGTCTAATTTTAATATGGTTATCTTACCATGGAGAGAAATCTATCAAGAATATAAATAGCATGCCTATGAACTAAAACAGTAGAACAGAGAGAAATGAAAATGTGTTCAAGTATAACCAGAATCTGCTGGAGCAGATTGGCAAGCAGTAGCCCCACGAAGATTTGAAGTAATATTGGGACTTCCAGTAGCATTACTGTGTTTCTGAAAAGTGCCTGCATAAAAGTAGTCAATCAATATACACTAATGTGGTATCATACAATTTATAGAAAGAGGCCAAGAACTGTGAATATTACCATAATCTTTTCCAGGATCATGAGTTCATGACTATGATTACGGTAAGAGATATTTAACATTGAAGAAGAATACAACACCACTAATTGCTGAATCAAGCATGGTTAAATCAGTCTTAAGCTCCCTATGAAATGTAATTTAAGGCTAAGAAATATAGGGCAAAGGCCTGTTTCTTCCCTCCCTACCTTTAGTTTTGCCGTTTGACGAGAGGACAGAACCAATCAAATCCGACACTCCCTGGGAAGCCACCTCAGATAACGAAATTTTAGAAGACTACAAACAAAGCATATGAGTTAGGTAAATCATCGGACAAACCAACTCAAATGTTTCTGACTTTGTGATTCATTGTTAAAATATGACCACAAAGAGAAAATGGAGAAAAAGCATATTTGTATGTGAAAAGGGAAGTATCTTCAGTCTTTAATGCACATCATGACAAGAAAAAAAACAAGCAAATGCAGAGCAGGAAGACTTACTGATTCTTTACTTGCACATCCATATTTGCTCTGTATCTGCAAAAGCGAAATAGGTCAGATATGAATATTAGCTTACTCAACAAACAAAAGAAATTGCAAAATGAAAGTAGTCACCTTGGAAGAGAAGTCAGCTACATCTAGCAGCAGCAACTTTGAGTCAAAATGATGTGCTAAAGCCTTGGCAAGCGTTTGTATGTAAAATTCTGCCCAAAAAATTTGAAAAATGAAAATGAAGCAAGTATGAGAGTCAAACCGACATGGCATGAGACATCTTCATGACATACCCGCGGGTCCAGAAAGCAGAATTGCCCTGCTTGCTGGTGAAAGGTTCCGAGTGTGTTTGGAAAAGAAAAGTTGCCTTAAATGAACAGATGCAGCACTTTTCAATAACTCTCGAGTTCTTTCACTGTCAACGCGGCGGAATAAGACTTGTGTTATATACAATGGTAATAATAACTCAGACTTATATATGATTTAAGGCGACTTTAATTAAGAATAAATGTCTCAAGTCAAGCACATCAAATTCCTCCAAAGTAGAACATAACACTATGTTCACCAGTATATTATTACATAAGGAATCACTCCGAACCGTAAAAGTAAAATAAAAAAACTAAAAGAGTGCAGCTGAGCAGAATGTTCCTGGATGAGGAAAACCATATATATTCGGAAAAAGTAAATGCTCCAGATTGCAAGAAATGTTCAAAACTCTAGATCACCTTAAGTAATACGGAAACTCTTGAAAAGTTTCTTTGCATTCCTTTCCATCGATCACCTGCCTCAAAAGCTCCTGCTCAATCTGTTCACCATAAAGCTCATCACCCGCCTCGCCATTCCCTCCTCCAACAAGCCCTGAGCTCAACCCAAGGCTTGCTCCGAGACCAACCCCAACACCGAATGCTGTCAGCAACATGGGCTTGTGCTCCATCGCTTTGATGAAACAATTTGATCATAACCAACCCCTCTGGAGCACGCAAAACCCCACTACTTTAATCTTTTTAGCTCTGAAAATATGCCAAAGAGGCTTTTTTACCGTTCAAGTACACACATTAATGCATGCGTGTGTGACCCTTTTCACCTGTGTCCCCACATAAAAGCATGCTTTGACTTGGGTGTGTGAACTGTGCATTCCCAAAGGGTGAAAACTTGGCTCCCAAGTTGTCTAGAACGTGAGAGCCGTGTGGAAAAAGATGAGAAATTAACCCCATACTCCCTGCATTTTATGTTCATTTTCCAAGAACACATTTATTCTTTTAAAATCAGTGCCTGCTGTTAGCTGCTGTTTAAAAGTTCGTCCTTGTGATTCATCCTATCCAGAGAACAAGACACTAGAACTTGAATATTGATTGATGTATGTGGGAAGTACAGTTCAATATACCACCTCCAATTTTTAATATAAAAACTATTTTAACATTCAAAATCCTAAATAAGAAATCCCCATCTACTTTATCTTTTATATTTATACAATTTTTTAAGTTAATTTTTATAATAGTTGCACATGTTAAATGTTTTATCATATAACTGTTTTAACTAGTACACATTATTAACAAGGGTATTTTAGAAAAATCAACACAATTTTTTTTTCACAAATAACCAACTTAACTAATTTTCTTAGTATACTAAAATTGGTCAACTAAATATTATATTAAATACTACCTTCGGTCCTAATTATAAGAGTCAGTTGACTAATTTAAGGAAATTAAGAAAAGAAGTTAAGTTAGTTTTTTGTAATAAATAAGTGTTCTCTTTCCTAAAATATCTTTGCTAATCAAGTGTATCGGTTAGAATTACTATTGCTAGAAAGACTACCTTGAGAAAAAATACATAAATATGAGAGACAATGTAGATTGGAGTCTTATATTTAGAATTAAAATAAAAGAAGGTCTTATATTAAGGACCAGAGATAGTATTAGAGTTAGTATATTTTATCTTCATTCTTAGGCTTTATTTTTAATGCCATTTGTGCCTACTGAACTTGGGGATTAAATTCACCGTAGATGAATCTTAGTCTTATAGGTAGAGCCGAGAAAACGGGCTGAGCCCGTCGGGCCGGCCCGTTTAAGCCCGTTTAGGTCGAGGGCCGGGCTTGTATTTTGAAGACTTGAAAGGGAAGTCGGGTTTAAAAGGGTCAGCCCTGTAGGGTCGAAAAATAAACGGGCCGGCCCGTTTAGGCCCGCCAATTTTTTTTTTTAAATTTCTGTCTTTTTTTCTTAACTTAAAAAAGAAAACCCTAACATTTTAAACATAGCATACTCTTAGTTTTACTTATCTTGGCAGCTCACATAGATAGCATTCAGAAAAAGAAAAAAAGAATCATTATAGTTGTGGGAAAAATAACCAAAAAACATGAAAATTGCAAAATTTAAAACTAGGTATATTCACAAAAATATATTATTATTTATAAGTTGTCAAAACCTATTAAAATACTGTATGTGTAATTTTTACAGTCTTTATTTGTCATTCTCCCATATTTTTTATACTTGAAATATAATTGATCAAAAAATCTTTTAAACTAAAATAAAGATCTATATCATTTTTATATTAGAAACAAATTTAGAACTAAGGATGATGGACTCTTTTCTTTTTTGTCGGTATGACAAATGATTATTCTTTATATACTATGTTTGTTAGTTAAACTTTTTTGTTAATTATTTATAATCAAACTAGATCATCCGCATTGTAATTATCTACTGAACTTAATGCTTATTTAGTTGTTTATGTATATCCTCTATTTAGTTTGTTTATTCAATAGACTTTATTACACTGTAATATATGTTTAAACATGATAATGTTTATATTTGTGACTCAATTTTATTTATATTTATATCTTTTATTAGTAATTTTATTGTTTCATTTTTATTATTTTGATAAAATATACAAAAAGATAAAAAAAAATTATTTTAGTTAAAAATGCCAAAAGCCCGCGGGCTAGTCCGAGCCCGTCATCTCACGGACCGGGCTTGAAAAAATGATTTATTTTTAGAACTCGGGCTTAAACGGGCCGGCCCGTTTTCCCGGTACTTTATAGGGAATGGCGTATAAATTTTGAAAGTACAGGGACTTGGTTGAAAATACAACAAAATTTAGGGATTTCTTTCCTATTAAAATTTAGATGGAGGTTTTGAAAGAGCAACGAACGGACTCTGGTCGGAACGCAAGAGCGAAAGGACTATTGATATAAGGGTGTGTTTGGGTGACACCCCAAACCATGGTTTGGGGTGTCAATCACCCAAACACCCCCTCTAAAAACCAAAACCATGATTTTGGGTCAAAACCATGGTTTTGGAAAAAGCAAAATTTTTTTGTTTTTGGAGAAAAAAAGGAGAGTGTGAGAGCCTATATGATATGTATTTTGTTATTTTTTTTATAAACATATTTTTTGATAAACATATTTAATCTTATATTTTATAAATATATATACACATTAATTATTTATTAATTATATTATCTTATATATTATTAATTATGTTGGTAAAAAATATATTATTAATAATTTTATTCCTTCAAATTAAAATATATCATAAAATCTATTTTTTCTGTAATTATCATATTAACTTATGTCTTTTTTTTAGTAATTTGTATATATAAAAAGTGCTTCTGATAACAACTATCCAAACACTCTCACTTCTCAAAATCACTTTTTTACAAAATTTATTCTTTACAGAATCTATTCTCCCCAGAATCTATTCTCCAGAATCACTTTTCCAAACCACGGTTTGGTTTCATCCAAACACACCCTAAGTCCAATTGACTGCTACCTATTGTACAGGCTCAATTATTTTTCTTTTTCAATATAATTATACTGTACTTTCTCCAAGCTTTTCGTAAAAAATAAATAATCAAATCACACGCATTAAAAATTGTGATTAAGATTAACAAATATGTACGATATTTAATTTTCTTACGTACCCATATTGATTATTTGAGATAGTGGTTATGTATATAATGATGTTAATTTTAATGAAGATAAAGAAAATTTAGTAAATGCCCAAGACATTAGGCAAAGACAATCAATCAATCATCAATTTTGTAATCTTGTAATACGCTTATAATATCACAAATTTAAAACCAATATCGAAAAAGTAAATGAATATTTTTAAGGCCATTGATGAGGCGGTTAATTATTATAAGAGAGAATGTCTGAAATTTAAAATACGTAGTAATATAGAATTCCGTCCCTTATTATAAAATTTTTTAACTAAATTATGGGATTTAAAAAAAATAAAATTAGTTAAAAACAATTAATATATATCAAATATAATTTTTTCCAAATATAACCCTATATATAAATGGGTAGATGTGTTGGAGTAATAATGAGATAAATAAAGAAAAAGAATGTATTAAATGTATTAACCTAGGGGTAAAATAGCTAATAATGCATTAAATATTCAAACAAATTCAAAAAGAATTTTATAAAAAGAGATAAATATATTCAAAAAATTAGATTTTATAATAAGGGGATAAGAGAGAAAGTAATACCCTAATAATTTTGTACTCAATCCTATTTATAAAGCACTTCTAATATGTTTCATATAGATTAAGAAAAACCTTAAATTGCATTAACTCTTCATTAAAATATAATAACTTTTCAACTTTATCCCTGTTTAATATATAATCCTTAAAAAAAACTATCTATATTAAAATAAATGAAAAACAATATAGTACATTCATGATAAAAATTTAATGAAGTGACTTATAAATAGAATAAAAAAAATTTCTCTCTCTGTCCTATAAATAAATCAGAGGAGTATTTGCTAAGAAATCTATTTATTGGTTAATGGTTAAAGTATATATGATGTATTGATAACATACGATGTAGTTTAACGCGGAAAATTCTTTTGTAAATGAGAAAGGGTTAATGTGCAAATTTATTCCAAAAATTTCTATTTAGGAACAATGAACATTCAGAATTTTTTTGTGTATGCATATTTATCCTGAAAATTTAAAATCATGACAATATTATTGCTCAACATAGAAATGTTTATAATCATTATCACTATTTTAATTATCAATATTAAGTTTTTAATGATAAGGAATAATATTATTACAATTTTAAATTTTTCAGACAAACTTACTCCTTGAGCGAATGGGAAATTAGGGATTTTGTTTATAATTCCATGTGGTTACTCGTAAGTACGATTTTTTTTTTCCTGTTCTTAATTTTTCTTTTTAAAATATTCAACGAGCTCTCGATTTTGTTTTTTTTTTTTTATTTTGACCGATTGGCCACAACATTTAGGATATTCCTGAGTTCCTCTGACCGTCAAAAGGAAAGGTAAGAATATAGTAAATGATGAACAACCACACAGGGATTCTGCCATTTTCTCCCCCGCAAACGTTAGAGTAAACACTAAGCTAGTAAGTTATTTTCAAGGAAAAAAGACAGAAAAAAGCATTGAAAATTGCAAATCTCAAATTAGGTTTGGTAACAAAATTTTATTTGGTATTAACAAGTTTGAATTTGCAAATGACAATAAATTTTTATTAATATTTCTTATTTGACATTTACAAAATTCTAACTTTTTTTTGTCATTATCCCTATTTTTAATATAAATTTAAATAATTAATTTATAAATAACAAAAAAGATTGTTTAATTAGCTATGGGTAATAAATGTATAAATTATTTTTCTTAATCAAACTCTCTTTTGTAATCAATGAAAATATTTTGACAAAAAATTATGGATTTGGAGAATAAATTGAATTAAGATTTTATATTTAAAATCAAAACAAAATTTTCAACTAGTTCTTATATTTAGAATTTAAAATAATAATAAAAAATGAAAATCCGCAAAAACAAAAGAAACACGGGCTGGGGATTTTGGCCCATAAGTTTTGACCTTTTTTTGGTATCATCCATGTGCTATATAATTTTCTCTTGAAATTTATACAAATTGTATACGATAATATGTGTTTTATTTAAAAAGATT